GATAGCATTAAAGCCGCGAGGCACTAGCCCGTTAATTGATAAAGTAATGAAAACTCCCGATGGTTTTTTACGTGTTAGGATTGTGAGGGAATTCACATGACAGGTGTCAAGTATGTGATGACAATGGAGGGAGTATAAAAATTAAAATCGACGTAAAACGAAGGCCAGTGCAAATAGCAATAATAATGGCGATGAGAACGAGTGGTGGGTATTTGAACGAGTGAGTGATTGACAATGCTGCACACCCGAGCGTAGATAACCCGACGATTATGGTGGTGTTATGGTGAATAAGGTTTAAAGCCCACAATGCAGCTAATGACACTGAACTCACTTTTGATGTTTGACCTCGTCTTTCTATTTTTTTTATTCCTCGTTGTTGTCTCGTGTCTGGTGTATTATCTGCCGGCAGTTCCGTCGAGTCAAATAGCACCCCACGAAATTATAAACGCAAGAGTCGCCCCGAGGGCTGATGCACCTGTCGACGATGTCTGAGGTTCGTATCAACAACTCCACAATATTATTTAATCCAAATGAAAATTGTCCATAAACGTATAAATATTTAAAATCAGTACATCTATAAAATAAGTACAAAAAAATAATTTTTGGAGAAATTAGGATATCTTGAAAAGAATTTGACCGATTAATCTGAAATTTTGCTCAGATTCAATTTCAGATTTTTAGTGTGAAGTTAATTTATTTTTATATATATATTTTTTTTTTAATCGATAAAATTATGGATTAAGGAGCTCCTGTTTGGAATGAAAATAGGGACTTGTTTTTTTTTATTCGAATCAAGTATATAATGTACTCGAGTCAAGTATGTAATTTTCTAGATACTTGAATTTCAGAGTGAAGTTTCATTTTTTGGTCTGAATGGCTGTTTCCACTGAAACATGATCGGAGTCTTTCACTGAATAGAGAGGTAGAACGATACGCCATCCTCCACGTTGATGTTTACCACTTGGATAGTACCACCGATATTGGTATGGTCAGCCACGGGAATTATTGGAAGTCAGACATTATTACTCGACCTCAGCTGACCGCTCTCAATATCGCATTCACATCAGCCTACACATGTTAATCCGCCCAACTGAAAATTCAAATAATTTTTCAACATGAAACTCATCAGTAAGGGGAAGAGAAAAATCTGGAAAAATATTTTCTGTCACCGATCTATTTCGCCAAATCATTTTATAGTCAATGGTCAATGGAATTATTTATTTTTACACGCTTTTTCTTAATTATTTTATCGAAAATTATTATCTATCATTTCCTCCAATGATCTCTCTTCAACGCCCTTCAAGTTTTTCACTTCCATTGATTTTACGAAGAATTATCGATGATAATCTCTCGAATTATTCCTCGCAGTTATTCATGTATTTAATTTTCATGTACAAACTCGCCTAATATGTTGTCCAAAATAGCAAAAAGCAAATAAGACTGATTAAAACAGTATCTAATATTTACTTTTCCATCAACATCACGATTAAATGCAATTATAAGTAAAGTACGATAAATTGGAAAAGGTCTAAAAGAATAAGAATAAAAAATTGCAAAACCAGCGGAGACAACGATTCCTGAATTATCAAAAAATAAATTGGGCGGAGAATTTTCCCGATTTCACGATGTGCAATTAAATGTTAAAACTTGGCGATGCAACCAGCGAATTTCCCCAGACGCTTTGCGCAAAGAAATTGAGAAATTCATTTTAGAGCGAGCGAGGAAAACCTTGAATCCACGCAAATTGATTTTTTTTTCTCTGGTAATCTTTTTATCGTGGAAACCAGATGAATCGAGGATGACAGGAAGAATGTTTGAGATTTAATGGCTGACGGAGTGAGGCTGAAAATAGGCTGATCGAGGTAGAAATGTGAAGATTGAAACGAGTGCGATAACTCCATTAAGTTTGCAGTCGGGGGCATCGCACAGTGGGCGGTTTCGACCAATCGAAGTGAATTTTTCCTGTGATTCAGCGTCAGGTGACTGGCCAGTTGCTCATTCCACATTTGCCAGATGCAATTCAATTTTCCAAGGGATAAGTGATTTATACCCGACTTAATCCTCATGATCTGCTCGTACGATTTCATTTGCATTTGCTCACGGAATGAGGAAAGGGCTTTTCGATGAATTCCCACTTGTGCTTCAGGATTAAAATATTGTAAAGCCCTCTTTCAGGGCCCATCCTGCGCTCATTTGAATCTTTAAAAAAATAGAAGTGTGGAATTTAAATAACGGATGCAAGGGAGCGACTGTCATTGCGCTGTCATTACTGAATCTGTGGAGCAAATGAGTTTTTACTCTCCCAAACATTGAGAGGACGAGAGAAAAGTTGACACGAGAGTGCCCATCGATAACTGACGATATTATTTTCTCATATTTATTTTGTATTAATTTTCAGAATGCCAACGGAGGTGAACGGGGCTCTGCCAGTGGTAGCTGGAGATGTCCTGGCACTGAGAGGCACCGGTTTAGCTGCACCAGAAACCTGGGCTCTACTCTGTCAAGCTGCCCAGGCCCTCCAAGACCTCTTCCTCTCGAGTAAGTACACCCATTGTTTAAAAAAAAAAATCCCTCTCTCCACCCCCAACTGTCTCATTATCTCCGCATTAATTAATCTCCTACAATGCCCCGAGCGCAACTGACTCGTCATTGTTTCCCCCAAAAACCAATTACTTGTTGATTAATTTTCCCTTTGAGTGGTAATAATTTATCTTTGGGTGGGGGTGAAACCAGAAGCCATGATGCCTCATTGAGCTAAATCTTTCGCCCTATTCCGCGCACTCGAAATATTTCTGGATCATTTGATCGAACAATAGGCACCAAAAATAGACGACTTCCGACAGCTCCAGCTCCCCGAGAAAAAGTATAAAATATTTCTCGAATTTCGTTGGGAAAATAATATCCATCGTTTTTTCTCGGTGCATCGAAGCGTCAGACGTGTTTAACACGTTTGTTTACGTCTCGTAATTCCTTTATTGAAATGCCGTACCTTTTGAAGTTTCTCGGAAATTGTAAAAGCGAAGAATCGCTAGAATTCTCAGGTACTCTCGCTATTTATTTTCTTCCACTTGATTGGAAATGAAAATAAACTCTATTTTATACGGGTTATTTTGAAATTCTGTCGGAAGCTGGTCGATTTCTAGATGAATGTTCGTACTTTCTGGGATCTACGGAATGTTTAAAAATGGTATTCAATGTATTTCTCTGTCCATTCGCCACTGTGAAAAATGCACATGGAATTTAGCCAATTCTGGACATTTGCTGTTTGATAAATGGGGTGTAATATTGTAAATGGATTTTTGATTCAGAGATAGATCACAGTGATCCAATGAAGTGTCAAATATCAAGGAATTCCGTGGAACTTGAGAATCTTATGAATAATCCATCGACTCCATTGTCCCGTACACCTTTCCAACCCAAAAAACTACTAATTTTATTTCTTGAAGCTGGTGGGGGGTGGGCCGCGTGGTGGGGATAGTTACATACAGTCGGATTCTACGAATTCGCTTCCCCTACAGCCCCAAATTTTAAAGATTAATGAATAAAATTTGCAGAATGTATAAATGCTGATTACTGAAAAATCGTTCAGACTTGCAAAATCTATTGCGGTGGAAAAAAATCATTGAAAGCTCCTGTCCGATGAGAACAATTTTGAATCCAACTAGAAAGACAAAAAATGTCAACCCACCTGACAGCCGATAAATTCCACACATGTCATCCATTTTCACCATTTCCCCTTCCGGAATTTTTGTTTTTCCCATCACCCTGTAATGTACGGCCGGGAGTTGGCATATGTACGTGGGTGGATGATCCTGTCTACAAAAATCCCACTGATCTTTTTTTCTCACTGCAATCCACAAATGCACCAGTTTCCAAGTACATAACCCACCACATACAGCCATATACATGTTTACCCGTCGTTATATTGGGATTTGATACGTAACTGAAGAAACGGCCAAAGTAAAAGTTACCTCAGGTATCGAATGACGAGGGGCTTTTGTGCGGGTATGTGATCGATTATTATCCGAGGAGTTGGTTGCGAAATGGAACCCCGAGCAGAAGGAAAAACCTTTAATGCACATCACAGTTTCTTTCCATTCGGTTTCCCTTTACAGAGTGAAAAGCGTGTTTTAAACCCACCCAGAGCACTTCCATCCACAAATGATTGATGCACAGATATTTCCATTTGAGCATCAATCGTTAATTTCCAATTAACGATAGTCTCCCTTCAGCTTTCAATTTGAGATTCTAAATCAACCAAATACCAAATACACATCCAATAAACATTCCAAATTAACAGCACCCTAGCTGGCTTTTCCCAAAAACCATCCAGCAATCTGGTCTCCAAAATTTCACCACAATTTACTAACAATTTCAAGCCTGCGCGGCATTCTGTCGTCACCCTGGATAAGTCAAAGGGCGTGATTGAAATCGTGACCTTCGAAAGGCATGTAACCTACTAGAATGTGCACATGACACGGTTAAACACCGAAACGGTAGGAGAGAATATGCCAGTGGCATATTGCCTCCCCCGTTGAGAATCCCAAATTACGTGCTTTAGTCGGATAAGCCTGGGCATTGAGGATGCCTTGTCACTGACACGATAATAGCCTTGTTTATCCTATTCCATATTTGATCATCCAAAATCTCTGGACATCAGGTACTCCATCATTGTCCAACCGAGAAATCCAGTCCCATTCCAATAAATCGAATCAATTGTCGAATGATTTTACCACTTAACTAGCAAACAAATTATCATCAACAGCCAATTAACGCTTGTACGCAGTTTGACTTCTTGAATTTTGAAGAATTTACAGTTTACGTAATAAATATTTGGTGGGCCCCGGGGTTAGTCGCGGTCGGTAAATAGTCATGTGCGTAATGTCTACAGGAAGGGAAAGCGTCCAATGTTAGTTGAGGCTGGACGATACCAAGGATTTCAGAAGGGTGGACTGCAGCCCTTCTGTTCATGCTTGTAAATAGCCAGGGGAGATCCAACCGTAAGGGGAAAGGTGGTGTAATTCCAACATATGAGGTTTACCCGGTGCTCCCAGAAGGGATATACACATTTCACGACGCTGAGGCTTTTGCCTTCCTGAAGGGAAATGATCCTACCCGAGGAATTCAAATTACTGGTAGCCCGTAGCAACTCTCGTATCATCACGCTTACCACGTGTAATCTTCTCCGACAGCTCCCAAAAGTGTCGTCGTTATATCCACTTTAGGGGTTGCTAATATTTTTTGATGAAGGGGATGGCAGTTGTGAGATGAAGATGAATGGGCTTCGTATGTCGTAATAAAGTGGTTTGCTGTGTTACAAATCCTACCAGAGAGCATCATTCGGGGATGATGTGATCAGTGTCTCTGTGTCCTGGGGATTTCAGTCAAGTTCAACGCTTCGTAATCCGTTTGTCTTCACCCTACTCTGATTACGTTTGAGTTGTGGAGATGTTGGATATTGAGCTATTCATCATTTCCACGAATTTATGACTCATTGGAAGATTTTATGAGCCAAAGGACAATTTACTGAAGTAGAAATCGTGTAGAACATTGCTAGAATGATCGTGAAGAGGATATTTAATCATGAACAACCCTTTGAGGTCAGTTTACCTGATGAGTGTCATTAGTTACAAGTCCAGATAGTAGTCTCTCGTTTCTTAACGGTTAAGGGTTACATCTTCGGTGTCTCTCAGAACTTGAACACCGAACTTCAATACTTCGTAATCCCCTTGTCTTCCCTTTACTTTGATGGCTTGGTGTCGTGAGGATGTTGGACATTGGGAAATTCGACCTGTGCACGAATTTATGGCCCAATGGAGGCATTTTACGATCCACGGGGGAATCAATTAAAGTAGCTATGATATAGGAGCTGCCACAGATAGCTACTAAGGCTATCAAGAGGATATCATAATCAGCACAAATTAAAGATTGCCCATTTCATCAACTTTTCAAGACCTGAAGATTGATTTTTCTTCTTCAATTATGATTTCTGTCATTTCTTTCACCTTCAACTTGAGTAGCTTTAAATTTCACACTGAAAAACCTTTTGACGTCAACTTGTCTGATAACCGTCATTGGGTACAAATCCAGTCAGGAGTCTCTCATTTGAAAGGGACGTCTTCAGCATCTCTGACGAGTTGAACACCCACTTTCATCGCCTCGCAATCCGCCTGTCTCCACTTCACTTTGATGACGTTGGAGATGATGGATATTGAGCATGTCAACATCTTCATGAATTCATGGTTCATTGAGGACGGCTGACGAACAAAAAGGAAGTCAATTGAAATAGTAATTGCGCAAAAACTCCAGCAGATAGGTGAGAAGGTGGTGAAGTGGATATCCTTTCAACACCTTACGATTGATTCAGGAGTTCAACACTGGATACTTGCCTGAATATCCTCACGAATTCATGATGCAGTTAACATTCTCCAGAAGCTCTGGATATGCAGAGAGTGCATTGTAATCAGCACAACTTGCTGGTGAATAATTTGGAGGGACTTTTATACTTCGAAAAGATTAGTCTCTTCTCCGTGAACTGCCAGAACTCGTGTAATTGTGCCGTCAAACCTCCATTTCTGTAAATAATTCAGCAACCAGCTAACAGACGGTAGTCTGTGGCTTTTGCTTTTTCGACGGTAGCTTGAACGATGAATGATGGAGGGAGGAATACGTAGTGGAGTGGATTGAGTTGAGCGCTCCTGCGGCCGTTCACTCTTAAAGGGAATACTTCCAATGAATGTGTCCCACTTTTTCACCCCCAATTAGTCCCAACAGATTCGATAATTAATGAGATTCACATTGTGGATTCATCATCCCTAATGAAAACAATTTAATACCCACGATAATTGCAACACCATTGAATTTATCGTGCGAGATAAGGGCGTCAGGATGAGAAGAAAAAGTGGAAATTATACCGGAAGTTATGTAGATAACGTCGTACGCTGGAATTCGAGCCATTTGCGTTGGTCGTTGAAGCATCCTAGGGTGGAAAATTTTTCGTCTGCTCGTGAAAGGGGAACATTCTCAGTCTTTTCTCGGCCCCTCATCTTTCATCAGAATTATATGTACGGAGAAAAAAACCCACCTAGATAACTGAAGGGGTTACATTATATGCAGCGACATGATTTGCGACTCGCATAAAGTGGCCTAGAGGCGGATTCTTATTAACACTCCCTTAGGCTTTGCAAGTTAAACCAGCAAGAGCCCAGAGGCTGTGAAGATGAAGTCAAAAGAATTTCTATTTGGATCCACGTCTGCGAAAATTCTGACGAATTCAACTTCAATTTTCTTGCAACCTCACATTGTTAGATACTTGAATTAAAGATCAATCTCGAGTTGATTTCTGAGAGTCCGACACTTTTGACTACCTCGAGGCAAGACTGCAGTTCATCACGAAGTACATTCTTCAAATGTCTTGAAACCCTAATTAGATCATTTTTATGGGTCAAATGCTCGATAAAAGTTAAATTCAAATTGAAAGCAGAAAATAGTGTGGAAGAGAAGTAAATACTATTTTAGTACTGAAGAACGAGATAAGCCGGAGAAATAGCATCTGTGCTTTTCATTGAGTTTATCTGAGACTTAAGTAACAGCAAAGTGAGTTTATTAAGCTGGCGCCATTGAGGTGAGCCTCAGCTGTGGTAGAATGCAATTTCACGGTGACAGGACTACAGCTCTGGCCAGTAAATGACAATCAATCAATGTCCACTCGGTTATATCCACGCCTTTCTTGATTTAAAGCCTGCATTTCAGGTGCGATAGCTCGTTTCCATCAGCCCTATTGCGATCTTTTATGGGGCCAGATGGTTTGATGCCCTTTTCCCTGACCATCTCGCTGTAAATCTAGCCCAGTGTCCACACAATTTCGTTGACCATTAACCAGAATCTGTGTACGTTCCTCTTCGGGATGAGGATGTCGGCTGAGGTACGTGGTTTTCTTTGATACCACAACAGAGACACATCCGGACACTTTACCTTGAACGTCGTCGTTTATGTCGGGTTAACGTTTAATTACTGGCTTGTGCAGCTGGTGACACTCTCTGGGGATAAATATATTGGGTCAAGTCGGATGTAACTGCGCTGTTGGAAAATTAAGAAATTTTCTGGACAACTCTCGGCGGAAAAATTACTTTTGATAATGAAAATTAACTTGAGGCAGAACAATATTGTCTTGTTAATTTTTTTTAATCCCGAAATCTTTGGGATCAGAATGTGGATTTTCTCAACATGTAACTTCTTCGGATATTATTTGTACTGGGAATTTATAAAATAATTACCAATTTCTCGATTAATCAAATTTTGATTCCTGATGTTTTAAAAATTGATACTCAAATTTACAAGTGTGCACATTTACATCATTATTTCAATTTAATTCTCTTTGTGTAGCGTACAATGAAGCTCCAAGGTTTCATGGATATACATTGTAATTTTACAAAACGATTTAAATGAAAAAGCACTGGCAAAGCATTTGTACGTCATTAACAAGTTAAATCCAGACAAATTCATCATGACGATCCGTCATTCATCATTCTAAACACATTCATCACTCAACTTTAGCTTACCCTAAACACGTAACACATTTTTTATCGGGAATAATACTCAACGTCATCATCCGGGAAAACACTGGATTTTGCGGAGAAGTGAGTGGGTGAAAAAAGTTTTGCTTGAATGGGTAATAAACGGGGCGTGAAAACTTGCTTACAGTTTTTGCCAATCATTGGGAATACGTCGATGCATTTCCCAGATTGATTAAATCCTGTTTGATCGGGGAAATACCTCCACCCGCATATTTCATTCGGTTTCCACCGAATTCCTTTACTTCGTTCCAACTGGAATTTCCAAAATTCAAGCGAGCAACAGTCTGACTCCCTAAAGCTGCACTATCAAACATTTTTCCACGGGAATGAAATCTTTGAAATAATCCCAGTGCCGTTCACGTAGAATTTCTCGATGCGAAATTTTATTGAATTGGTACCTGAATAAATGTATTATTTTCGTTGCCTCCGCGATTTGATTTTTACAATTTGCAATGATAACTGAAGAAATTTATTATTATATTCACCTCTTTTTTATTAACAAAAAAAATTACTTGCATTAATTCTTGGACGGTTGAAAATTAAAATCATTCACCAGCCAATGAAGTACGAATATTTTTCGTCAGTTTATTAAAATGGAATGTTTTTTATGGTAAGGGTAACTCATCTGATGGGACCGTTAATGTCCAAGCGATGGGGAAATTATCCGGAATTTAAATGACCCTCGGGCTTACAGTCCGAAACATTATGGGTCTTTGTTGCTCCCGTTACTTTGGTGGAATTATCAACAAAAGTTGGGGGTTAATGGGTTTCTTTCAAGGGTTTATTCGAGCTCCTGTTGTTTTCAGATGGAGGTGTTGTTGGTGGATCGCGTGCAGGACCAGTGGTAACACCTCATACACTGGAGCTAACACCGAGAGGTAGAGTGACACTACAGCTGGCACCACCGGAAACAGCACGAGCTTATTTACCACCCGAATACAGGCCTGGTCGCATGTACTCGGATACAGACTCGGAGAAGGTATTTAACAGGATACAAAGCGCACTGTTTTATTACTGAGATAAAAAAAAAATACTCAACGAAATGAAAATAGAACAGCAGTTGGCAATCCGTTGCTTCCGGTTGGATCAGCAGCCATTTTTCTGGCTCGTTTGGTGGTTGGACAAACCGAGAGAGATTCTCATGTTTCAATTAAACGTGTCCACATTCAGAATAGAAATTATTTCTCGCAATTCAATTTAATTGAACTCACTTCGTCAGACAAGTCTTTTAAATTACCGTCCGCCGTGTATCTTCTACATAATTTGAAAAGTCTTAATAATTTCTCCAATTTGTATTATGTGAAGTGAATTGTTATAAATATTGATGGTTAAGGGGTTACTGCCGATATTTTCTTTTATAATTTTTTTTTCTAAGTAAATCGTAGGACTTATTTGGAAGTATGGAATAATTAATGGGATAATTATTTAATTTTTCTGGTTGCATTATAA